ACGCTATGAAACTATACAAATGAGCAGGTTCCAAGCCCAAACTCATATCATGATCACAATTCTACATCCTGGGTTTGGGGTTTTTTCCCCCCATTTAACATAATAAGGAGAGCATTTACTCGTGTGATTTGTCCCATTACGTCTTTCCTTACTGCAGCATCTCTCTAAGTGTGGCCAAGAACTCAGGATCTTACAGGGAGTCACTTCGAAATGCAAGGCTCCCAGGACCCACTCCGGTCCCACAGAATCATTGTCTGAATGAGGAATACTCTCCCCAGGTGATCTAGGTGGACCACACATTTGGGGAACATCCCCCCATGTGGTGACTCTCCACAGGACCGCATGCCGAAATACTGGTGTCCGGGCTTAGCCAGACCCATAGCTGAGAAGTTTTAAGAGTTGAGGCCTCATATGTTAGTATTTTTAAAAATTCTTTCTGGATGATTATCATGCATTGAAGGTTCCAAACATCTTTCATAATGCATATAGTCTCTCCTGCCAAGACTGGTTACAACAAACATTCCTTTTGGGGGTGAAGGAACGGAAATGTTTTATCTCCAGGATGAAGACCCATTTGTGACATGTGGTCTTCCTTGGCATAATCTGGACTTAGCTTCCTGCAAAGTTTTATTTCCAAGTTTATGTCTTTGGCTGTTGGGGCCCCTCCTTGTTGAAGTCCTAACATCTGGGGCCGCAGAGAGGACGTCCAAGCGGGCAGGCTACAGGACACCTCCTGCTGAGCCCGATCTTTGAGCAGAGAAGGAGGCTCTCCCACCCCCACGCCACATCCCTCCCTCTGTATTGGTCTGTGTTTTATTCACAAATAGCAAGTGTCTCTAAGCTGAGACATCTGAATACTGATCTTAAATCTGTTATTTTCCATGCCATTTGCTGCCAGTGACCGAAGCTAATGAGACACTCCCAGTACAATGCATGTTAATGGGCTTTTTGGAGTTTAGGATGGAGTGCTAGAAGAAGCAGACATCTTGGTAGCCAGGCTAGAGTGTGGGTTTGCAAGTGGTGGGTGGATCCATGCCCTTATTTTCCGAGAGGAGGCAGGTAAACCTTCTGAGATTCCTGAGCAACGTGCAGCTCAGTTTAGATTTGGACAGTCTGTCCCGTGCCCACTTCCTGAGCTGGGTTGGCAGAGCTTGATTTGAGGCAGGAGGCCATGGAGGGTGGGGGCGGGGGAGCAAAGATGCTTTACTGATACAGAGAATTAGATTCCAGCCCAGGCTGAGTGACCCAAGGCAAGCCTCTCGCTCTCTCTGTGTTTTGAAACCACTCTTCACCCACCATCCCTGCCCCACTGATAGAATGAGAAGAGCAAAATCTAACCACTTTCTGGCTAGAGCAGTGGGTGGAGGGGAAAATAGATGAGAACAAAGGTGTATATAGAAAAAGAAAAATATATGTCACCATCCCCTGCCTCCTTTAGCTTACCTCCTTATCTCATAATATTTTGTAATTCTATGGCATTGAAAGGCATCCTGAAATTTATCTACTCCTGACAACTTCAAACTGTTTCTTTAAACCATGGAACCAACTTCCCAAAGGAAATCTAAACAGTCCAAGCAAATGAAAGAGGTAATGCAGACGTGCTCCAATGAAATGGGATATTCTGGCCCCTCAGAATCACTCCCACTGTACCACTAAATTGAATGGCCCCAAAACAGCCTCTAAGGAACCCTTGGGTGCCAAAAAGCACAGTTTGACAACCACCGATTTAGTTCAATACCTTCCCTTTTACAGATGAGGAAATTGAAGCCCAGAAAGGCAAAATTCAGGGCTAAATTCCAGATTTCTCAACCCCATGTGGGGGATGCTTTAGGGGAACGAGATAATGGAACAATTGTTCTGTGTCTTGTCCTCAGAGAAGTCAGAGGCAGATGGGGCAGAACCAGCTGGGGTGACTGCACGTGTGCAACTTGGTACTAACCAGTGATGGAGGGTCCCTTGGTGTAGGGACTCGAGCAGTGAGAGAATCGAGCAGGGTGGAGATTGGACTATTCAAGGAGGTCCCCGTGGCTCTGCTTAGAGACAGCGACAGTGAGGTGTGGGTAAGGACAGGGACTCGAAAGGCAGACTGCCTGGGTCTGAATCCAGGTTTTCTCCACCTCCCAGCTGTGTGACCTGGGTACATCACTTAACCTCTCTGTGCTTCACTTTTCTCATTTGGAAAATGGGGATAAGGTTAGTCCTTGGTTTACAGTGCTGCTGGAAAGATTCATTAAGAAAATCCATGTGGATACATCCATCGAAATTCATCAAATTGTACATCTGAAATGTGTGTAGCTTACTGTACAGGAATCATACCACAATAAAGGTGTTAAAAAAGAAAAGAAAAGATAAAGCTACAAAAAAGGAAGGAAGGAAGGAAGAAGGAAATCCTTGTGGGGTGCTTCTCTCTGTGCCTGGCTCACCGTAAGTGCTCAGTGGATGCTGGCTACTGTTACTCTAGGTGCTCTGAGACTGAGGACTGGGCGCTCCTGGTTTCTGCCACCTCCCAACATCCTATAAAGATGATTTCTAGGGAAAACACAGGGAGGCTGGGGAGGAGGACGAGGAGGAGGAGGAAGGGAGGTCCTGCCTCCCGAAGCAGCTCCGTACCATCTGGGTCACAGCGGAGGTCCCGGACCCCACAGGCTGCCTTTGGCTCCTCCTCGGGCAGAGTGGCTCTCTGTTGAGCAGACACAGAGGGAGAAGGTGCTATTTATAACGCAGAGAGCAGAGCGCTTTGAGGGGGTGGCAGGAGCGAGGAGGGCCCGTGGGGAGAGTCGGCAGCAGGTGTCTGCGGCAGGGCGGCCACGGACCTTCTGCAGCCTGTGATGCCCTTGTCCCATCCCTCGGGTTCTCACGCCTGTGGTGTCCACAGCTGAGAGCCAGTTGGTGGAGGAGTGAGCAGAGTCCGGCTCCATCTGGGTCCACTGGCTGTGGTCGGAACAGGAACAATAAGGATTTTTTTTTTTGAGGAAAAAGCAAGGAGATGACTTCAGGCTGGTGGGAAGTGTCAAAAACCAACCCCCCACCCCCAGCCCAGGATCACAGCAGGAGCCCCCACGGGCGTGGTTACTACGCACAGCCTTGCTGTTCAGAGTGCGCCCCGGGACGAGTAACACCGCGTGGAATCCCTCGGGAGTTTTCTATAAAAGCAGCACCTCGGGCCTCACCCCAGATCTGATGCCTCAGAATCTGCATTTTAACAAGGTGCCAGTGTGAACTGTGTGCACGTTAAGTCTGAGAGGAGCTAGCGTAACGCACGTGAGATTCCAGTTTTAGCTCTGCTTCTTCCTAGCTCTGGGACCTTGGGCAAGTCACTTAACTGCACTGTGCCTCCCTTTCCTTACCTGCAAAATGGCTTATTAGTTAGTAATGCCTACCCTCTAGGGTTGGGTGGCAGAACACTTCGTGCCATGCCAGGCCTGTAATAAGCACTAGATAAGTATGAGCTGTTATTATATGTCACTTGACATTCAATTCAGCTTGGTTTTGCTGGGTCCAAATTTGGAAAGTGGGCTGCCTTCGTTCATTCATTCATGGGTTCAACCATCCCATCTGAACACTCACTATGGACCAGGCACTGTTCTGGCTGTGGGGACACAGTGGGGAACAGGACAGACAATGTCCCTGGCTCAGGGGAGCTCATAGTCTAGAGAGGCAACCAGATACAGACTCATAATTAACTAATTACTTCATGTAGAAAACCCCACAATTATTTACAGATGCACAAGTGCTATGCAGAAGGGTTGCTATTAGAATAAACAAAGCAGACGGTCAGAGAAGTCTTCTAAGGGGAGGTGATATTTCATTGGAATATGAAGGATAAAAGGGGAATCTAGACACAAAAATTGTGTGTGTGTGTGTGTGTGTGAGACAGAGAGAGGGATCACAAATATGTGTAATGTTGGGCGAGGCTGTATTCCAGGCACAAGGAACAGAATGTGCGAAAGTACTGAGGCAGTTAGGAGAACTAGAACTCAAAGGAGACCAGAATAACCAGAGCAGTGATTCTCAAACTGTTGTCAAAATCCCCTGGGGGGGCTTGTTAAAACATTGCCGGGCCCCATTGCCAGAGTCTCTGATTAGGTTGGCCTGGGGTGGGGCCCAGGAATTTGCATTCCTTACAAGTTCCCAGGTAACACTGATGCTGATGGTCTGGTCATCACACTTAGACAACCACTGAACTAGAACACTGAAGCAAGACCAAGAGGGAGAAGAGGTTGGAGGTTTCATCTGGTGCCGGGCCATGGAAACCTCTTGGAATGGGAACCAACTAAAGGTCTTATAGAGAATGATCAGATTTATGTTTCAGGAGTACCACCGTGGCTGTGGTGGGGAGAACAGATTGCAGAAGGCAATGAGTGCAAGCAGGGAGACTAAGAGGTTACTTCAGCCCTCTAGGGGAGAGATGTTGGTGGCTTGGTGGAAGTGAAGATGGAGAGAAATGGTGGATTCCAGAAGTGTTAAGAGGTAGACACCTTAGGACTTGGTTGGGTCACTGAATGTCAGGGAAGGAGGGATCAGGAAGCCCCTTTAAGTTTCTGGTTAGAGCGAGTTACAGATAGGGGGGCCATTTCCTGAGAATGGGAGCAGGTTTGCTGGGGGTGGGGATGGAGAGCAGCCAAGAGGAAGTGTTCCGTTGAAAGCACAGGTTTGAGACCCAAATGAAGACGTCATGTAGACAATTAGGTAAACAGATCTGGAGCTCAAAAGACAGTTTCCTTGGAGGAGGTGACGTGAGAAAAGATGAGATAAGGTTCTTAGTCTGAAGTCAGTAGAACAGATGGGCTTTGTGGGATATGGGAGGGGTTCCATGATGTTCTGAAAATATATCAGAATTGTATGTGCATGGGCCTTTTCTGGGGAGGGGTCCAATAGTCATCATCAGACACTCAAGAGTCTATGACTCAAAGAAGTTTAAGTCCATCAGCCAGATATTGAGGGAGATGCCAGTGGTCCTCAGTCCTATAAGGTCCTTATGACCCCGTCTCTGCTTCCAGGCGCCTGGTGGACCGTCTGGAGAACATGAGGAAGAACGTGGCTGGGGACGGGGTGAACCGCTGCATACTGTGCGGAGAACAGCTGGGGATGCTGGGCTCTGCCTGTGTGGTGTGTGAGGACTGTAAGAAGGTACCATCAGCCTCCCCTTCCCTGCTTTCCTGCTCATCATGTGCAGAGGCGCTAGGCCTGGCTTGAGCCTTTGGGGGCCTTGGGTCTTGGGGCTGGAGCTTGGATCCGGAAGGCGAGTTGCCAGTATGTAGTTCCTTCTGGGGTGCTCCTGTGCCCAGCTGTCTTCCAAGGTAATCCTGATCCTGGCTCCTCTCCTAGGAGTCACTCTGACCCTTCTGTTCCCTTGGAGCTCAGCTCCATCCAGGATGAACTTGGGAGCCTGAGGTAGGACATGAGCCATGGTTGAGCCTGCAAGTATCCTGGCTGTGGCTTAGCAAGTTGTCAGGCTAAAGGGCATGCCGGGCATGTGGGTACACATGAGTGGAAGGCTTACCCAGCATTCTCTACCCTGGGCTGTAATACAAGCCACTTCAAAAGCCCCTCTCCAGCCAAGTTAGACCAAGTTAGACATTGGTCTTCTGAAACATTCATTCTTGAAGAGGAGTCTCCCATGCTCTCTCCACCTTGCACCCTCTCCTCAAGCTGTCTGCACTTGACAATTCCAGGACAGAAACACAGCTGTCATTGGGCCTGTCTGATTCCCAGGAAGGGACTTCAGGGGAACAACCCAGCTGGAGACATCCATAATGCACTTGGCATCTCCTACTTGGGGTCCCCTCTAGCATTTAAAATGGAATATTGGGGAAAGTTTATTCCCCAAAAAAACCTGTCTTCTGTAGTCAGCTAGATAGGGAGAAATTTTGTGACCTGTTAGGTTTTCCTATTTGTCTCAGCTGCCAGGAAACTCGGCCAAAAGTATAATGTTCCATTGCATAGTCATGGCATTTACTCAGGTAACATCCTTCTCCCTGAGGAGTTGAACATGCAGTCATAGTCTAGGTTGTCTCAGATTCATTTGGGAAAGAAAGAGGGAATAAAGTACTAAACGAAATGGATGTATAGTCTCTCCTCTTTAAAAAAAAATCAAGTCAGTGAACTCCCTGGAATGGGATGCTGAAAACTCAGACCCCAGAGGGACTCTGGGAGAATCCCTTCATCCAGTGCTTGGGGATGACTCCAGTTCTTGTTATCAGAAATCAAGACTCAAATTGGAACTTTATTCTAACTGGCCTTGGTCATGGAAGGGAGGTGAGGAAAGGAGAGTTCTCTCTCTTTACGTCCACCAAGGGAGAATGGGGCTTCATTACCACCCTCCCTAGCCACCGCTCCTGACCACTGGCAGCTCCGAGCCTGGCATTTCTGAGTGTGCATCGGGCTATGTTTTGTCCCCAGAACATCTGCACCAAGTGTGGAGTGGAGACTTCCAACAACCGCCCGCGTTCTGTGTGGCTCTGCAAAATCTGCATCGAGCAGAGAGAGGTAAGCAGGTTGGTCCATTTGGCATCTGGAGCATCCTCCCTTCTTTGTCCAGTTCCCCTTTCCGTGCTGCATCGAGGGAAGTAGGGTGGCAGCTGGGAGGCTGGGGGACCTACTCAGGTACATGTCTTAAGGGGTAAGTATAAAGGGAACCAGCTCAGCTGTGAACACAGGCAGAACACAGGGTTTGAGTGAATTTCTTTTCTCCTCTCCCACTTCTGTGACTTTTCCTTCTCTCCCTCCTTTCTTCCCGCTTATTCGTTGCCCTCTGACATGCATTATTCCCTGTTCCCCATGTCTCACCTTCTGGCTCTCCCTCTGCTGCCTTCTGCTCTTTCTCTTTCTGTCTATTCCTCTTCTTGTTTCATACTCTCCCTCATTTTCTTTACTTTCCCTCTACAGATCGTCCTCAACTTATAGTGGGGTTACATCTCAATAAACCCATCGCAACTTGAAAATATCACAAGTGGGAAATGCATTTAAAACACATAACCTACTGAACATCACAGCGTAGCCTCCCCTAAACGTGCTCAGGACACTTCAGCTGACCGTTGGGCAAAATCATCTAAGACAAAGACTATTTTATAACAAAAGGTTGAATATCTCCTGTAATGTACTGAATACTGTCCTGAAAGTTGTTTTAAAAAGGATGGTTGTGTGGGCACAGAATTGCCATAAGTGTGTCAGTTGTTCCCCGTCGTGACGGCATGGATGGTGGGGAGCTGCAGCTCACTACCACTGACCAGCATCACAGGACATATCCCTAGGCCAGGAAAAGATCAAAATTCCAAATTTGAAGTATGGTTCCTACTGAATGCAGAGAACTTTTGCACCATTGTAAAGCTGAAAAGTGATAAGTCAAACCGTTGTGAGTCGGGGACCGTCTGTGCTCTCCTCATCGGAGCTCCTTTCTCCCTCGCATCCGTGTCTCCTCTCCTTTTCTTCTTTTTCTCCTTGCCTCTCAACCATCAGACTTCTTCCTCTGCACTGTCTTCACTTGGTCTCTGTTTCTTTCTCCTCTGGAATCCTTCTCTTACCTAGGCTTGCTTTTTATTACCCATTTTGTCCCAATTAAGTCCTTTCACCTTTTCCCAATTTCTTCGTCACTCACCTTTTGCTGCAGATTCCTGCCTTTCAGGCTGTTCCAAGGGCCATATCTCCCTCAGTAGCAGGCAGGGTCCTGGGAGAACAGATGGCACAAACCTTCAGGACGGTCAAGGAGGCTTTAATAAAGGTGCTGTGTACAAAGGTCCGGGTAGGAATAAGGGACATCACAAGGCACAGTGCAGCACACAGCACCAGCGGTGGAGGGCCGCCGTTACACTCCTGAGACTGAAGGAGCGGAGGAGGGAGCAGTTAGCAGACTGGGTGACAGGGATGGCCTCACAGGAATGCAGCCACTGGCTGCCTGGCAAGGAGGGAGCCAGGGGAATACATACTCTGACCTCACTATCTTCTTTCCTCTGATCCCCCACTAATGCTCTCCTTGACCAGATCCACCTGGAAGCTAGAGAGCAAGAAAGTCCATTACTGCAGTCCTTACTGGTCCGCCTCCTGAGATACACAACACGGTGAAAATGATGTAGAACCAGCCTGAAGGGGCAGTGAAAGGTGTTCGGCACATTATCCCAGGTGGAACACTAATCCACAAGGCTGGGAAGAAGGCCAGAGGTCTTGGGGAGGGTGTGAGTCAATCATCCTCTTTACAGAAGCCAGTGTAGTAGAGAGCAGGATGCAGTGAAGAGGTGGAAGACGTGGTGTCCAGTCTACTCTCTGGCTTTCTAGCCTTATACCAGTTCACAACCTTTCTGATATTCGACTTTATCCATCAAGAGGTTGGTCATTCTTTACTGAGTGCTCAGGGATATTGTGTGAGTCGAATGAGAACTGTGAAGGACTGCATACTGATGAGAAAAGTGTGCTGCCTCTTCTGTCACTGTTCTGAGGGCAGGGAGCAAAGTGAACAGTTGGCACTCGTGAAGGCGGGAGCAATGGTCCTCTGCTGCCATGTCTTCATCGTCTACCTCTCCTCCCCCAGGTGTGGAAGCGTTCCGGAGCATGGTTCTTCAAGGGCTTCCCCAAACAAGTCCTCCCACAGCCTATGCCCATAAAGAAGACCAAGCCCCAGCAGCCTGGCAGTGAGCCCGCTGCCCCCGAGCAGCCCGCCCCTGAGCCCAAGCACGCTGCCCGGGCTCCAGCTCGAGGTAGGAAATCACAGCTTTTCTACTTTCAGAACCAAGGACAGGTCTTGGCTAGCTGGTCTACCCAGAGGATGTCCTGACATCATGTCTGTGTTTCTGCCCAGTTGGTGGACAGCCAGCCTCTGGGCTTGGATCTAGGACTCCTATGTCCCTTTCATAGCTCATCATGAACTCTTATCAAGAAGGTACCAAAGGGAACACTTCTGCAATCCCAAGCTGCCAAAAGGCTTTGTTATCATCCCTGATGGAGTATTTTGAGGTACAACAGAGGTAGAAATTAAAATTAGGCGCTGAGAAAGACTCCCAGTGCCAAAATGCACACTGAAGCCTGCGCATGGGTCGGGGAGAGGGTAGGTTTGGGGCTTGCTGAGAAGGCCGCCTTCGCCCCTATTTCTTTGATCAACCATCAGCAAATCTGAAATTGGACTAATTAAAAATGAAAGATGAATAGAAAGGAAATGAATAAAAGAAAATTACCACTACTATGCATATTATCACTATTACCTGTGTTATTATTAATTATTAAAATGATGATTAAAAGGGAGAGGAAAAACCAATAAAAAAAATGCAACCCCAAAAGAACACATTTTAATTGAATGGGGCCTCGAGGACTGACCAGATGAAGCCCTTGCAATACTTTCAATTAACACAGAGTGATAAAATCTGTTCTGAGTGACAGTTCTGGAGTTGAGCACAGGCAGTGCTTCTGAAAGGAAGGTTATAGTTGAAGGTCTCAAAAATTGAAGTACCCAACTATAACTTCTCAAGGTACCCAGCGCAGTACCTGGCACTCGAAAGCCATTTAACAAAACTTTCATCCCGACAAGGCGTGAGCAATTTCTGCCCCTTGTGGAGACTTGCCAGATTGTCAGTATACACTGCATCCCTGAGGAACCCCCAGATTCCACCACTAGAGCATCTTTCTTTCTGGTTAAGCATTACTCCCTCTACTCTGAGAAGGCTGTAGAGTTAACTGTCAAGATCTTGGACGTCTGGAGCCAGGAGGACCTGAATTTGAATTCCAGCTCTACCACTTACAAGTCATGTGAGCTTGGTTAAGGGACCTAACCTCTCTGAAACTTTTCCTCACTTGTAAAATGAGGTTAGTAACTCATTTGGTTATTTTGAAGATTAAATGAGATGCTGCAGGCAGACCTCGTTTTATTGTGCTTTGCTTTATTGCATTTCGCAATTATTGAGTATTCTGGGTTTTTTTTAATTTTGTTTTGTTTTTACAAACTGAAAGTTTGTGACAACTCTGCAACAAACCAGTCTGTCGGTGCCATTTTTCCAACAGTATTTGCTCACTTGGTGTCTCTCTGTCACAATTTGGTGATTCTCACAGTATTTCAAACTTTCTAATTATTATTATATTTACTGTGATAGTCTGTGATCAGTGATCGTTGATGTTACTTTTATAATTGTTTTGGCATTTTTGAGCAATAAAATATTTTAAAATTAAGATACGTACTTTTTTTTAGACATAATGCTATTGCACACTTAGTGGACTGCAGTACAGTGTAAATGTAATTTTATACACTCTGGGAAACCAAAAAACTCACGTGCTTCACTTTTTTGTGATATTTGCTTTATTGCGGTGGTCTGGGACCCAACCTGCAGCATCTCCAAGGTATGCCTGTACGCGTAAAGTACTTTGCAGAGTGCAGCATTTAGTAAATGTTATATATTTATTATATTCTATACATTACTTTTATATATTATATAATGTTATTATATTATATTATACATTATATAATATTAATCCCCTATACATAGATAGATACATAAATGCTATGAACTAGCTTATCATCAGATAAACTCCAGACAAAGCAAATTAACTCTGATGTAGTTGATGTAGTGACCAGTTACCTCATTGGAAAAAAGTAACATCACCTGCATTGCAAAGTGACACCTAAAAAGTTATTGGTGCATCCAGTGCAGGTGAATATGTGAAGAAATGTTGTTTGTACCAACAGTAGGACTGTAATTCACCTGCAGCTTCCTGAAAAGTAATATGGCAGAAGTTCTTAAGATTTGAAGTGTGTATGCGATTTCACCCAACAGTCCCTCTCTGGGAATATAACTAACAGCAAGAGAAGTTCCAGTGTAAAAGATACACGTATATGTATATTTATTGTGTCATTGTTTATGGTAGCAAAGATACTGGCAAACACTAAGTGTTCATTAATGGAGGAATTGTTGACTGGATTATGATATATTCACTCCACAATGTATAAAGCATCTTTTAAAATTGAATGATGTAAATGTGTATTATAGATTTGGAATAATGTCCATGCTGTGAGCTTTCAATATTCTTTTAACAAACTGTTACTGAACACCTAATGAGTTCCAGGCTCTGTTCTATGCCCTAGGGAGCCAGTAAATGGAACACATAAAATCTGTGCCCTTGTGCAGCTAAAATTCTAGTGGGAGAATCAGATGCTCAACAAATAGCAAATGCAAATACGATATAATTTCAGGTTGTAGTAAGTGCTGGGAGGGAAAATGAATCAGGTCGGGTGATAGGTTGTGACAGGAGGGTTCATGTTGGACAGAATGGCCAGAGAAGGGCTGTCTGAAGAGATGATCTTTGGGGAGAAACCTGACTAAGGTGATAAAGGGGGCTCATAGAATCTTCGGGAATATGGCAATGCAAAGAGCTTGAGGCTGGAGCATGCTCGGTGAGTCCTGGGGAAAATCAAATTAAGTGAACAAAACACGTTCTAGAAACAGTACATATGCAATGATCCTAATTCATTGGCAAAGAAAGTAATGTGAGATTGTAAACATGTGCTACGTCAGAGGGGAAGTTGGGAGAGGAAACTTAGGGTTTTTTTTTTAAGCTCTTGGGAGTGGTGGATGGGCCCCTTTGTGACCACCCTTAAGCCAAGGATCCCCAGAAAACATCAAATACGTACTTCCCATTAGTTTTCTCTCTCCAGGTGACACTGAAGACAGGAAGGGCCCAGGTCAGAAGACAGGTGGGTTCTGCTGACTCTGAATTCTACTCTGGGGACTCGGACTCCTTTCCCCCACTCCTCCGATGCCCTTTCTCCATTCAATTCATGATTTTCTTTCCAGGCCCTGACCTGGCCTCAGCTCCTGGGCGAGGAAGCTATGGGCCTCCTGTGCGCAGGGCCTCTGAGGCACGAATGAGTTCATCCAGCCGGGATTCAGAAAGCTGGGACCACAGCCACGGTGGGACCAGCGGTGACCCCAGCCGGAGCCCAGCAGGTGAGAGGGATGCACAAATCCAGGCAAGCTTCCTGGATGAGGAGAATCAAAAGGAAAGGGGAGGACAGTGTTTTTATTCATTTATTAATTGGCACTTGGTAGACATTCAATGAACACTTGTTGAATGAGTAAGAGAGTAAGTGAGTAAATGAATGGATGGATGGGTGGATGGATGGATGAACAAGGACCTGGATAAACAAGCAAATGACAGTGCTAATGCAGGACCCTGCGACAAGACCTGGGAATCGGTAAGCCCCAGCCAGAGGTGGCAAAGCACTTTCTGTCATGAGCATTCGAGCATCTCTCCAGTGAAAAAGTTCTGAATTCAGGAGAGATGGGATCCTGCCCAGTGAGGTAAGAGAGGACAGGGCATTCTTCCAGGAATGTCAGACCTTCTGGGTACCAGGAACTGCTGGTTGTATCATTGCCATTTGATCCCCCAACAGCTTGGCAGGAGACAGTAGCCTCTAACAGTCTCAGGTAGACTCCAGAAACCAAATGCCTGAGTTCAAACCCTGGCTCTGCTACTAACCAGCCAAGAGCAGGCATTAGGTGAGCTCCTTAACCCCTCTGTGCCTCAGTTTCCCCATTTGTAAAGTGGAGCTAATAAAGCGCCCACATCATAGGGTGTAGAGATTAAATACGTTCTTATAAATAGATATTAACTCATTATTATCAAGTCAGTAGAGTTGTTGCCTCCATGAAGCATCTGAGAGAGGGTGAGTGACCAGCCCAAAGAGATACACAGGTCATGAAAGAAAAGGATGGGGTGCAAAGCTTGGTCCACATGAAGAAGTCTTTCGATAATAATAAAGTAATATCAACATCCGTCGACTGTTGAGCATCTACTACATGCCAGGCACTGTTCTGAGCACTTTGCATCATTGCATCTCCACCACAACCCTATCCAATGTTACTCTCATTTGACAGATGAGGAGACTGAGGCCCAGAGACGGTAGGTCATTTGTGCAAGTTCACAGATGTTGGAAGTAACATCACAGAATCTGTGTTTTCAACACCTGTGTTGCTGCTGGGACTTGCCCAAGGGGAATCTGAATATTGGAAAGAGAGCACACACGGAAGGGAAGAGAAGAGGGTCTGAAAGAGCTGAGAATGTCAGGGGGCTGCATCTAGTTTACATCCAGAGGATGTGCCTCATGCAAGCTTCTTCCTGTTTTGAGTGTGTGTGTGTGTGTGTGTGTGTGTGTGTGTGTGTGTGTGTGTGTGTGTGTGTGTAACATGACAGGCTGTTTCCTCTCTTTTCCCCTGCAGGTTTGAGACGGGCTAACTCAGTCCAGGCCTCTAAACCTACTCCGGCCTCGACGCAGAGCCCAGCACCTCCTCAGCCTGGACAGCCAGGTACCTGCCACCCACCCACCTGCCCAGATTGTTACTCAGCTGTGACCTCCCATCCTTGCCTGCAGAACCCGCTGGGATTTCTGCAAAGCTGCAGCCACCACCATATCCTAAACTCCTCTAAGACCCTTAGAGTGAATAATCCTCCAGGTGGGAAGCGGGCAGGGGTGGGATGGAGAGGGGCAGTGTACCCACCCAAACGTGAGAAGTGAGGGTACCTCATCCCTCAGTGTTGCCCACCTCCAGACATTGTCACTTCGCTTTCACAACTTTTACCACCTGCCCTACCATCTACCCTCTTACTTCCTTAATATTTTTCTTCAGGTTAGCCCTCCTTTAAAAACATAATTGAGAGAAGCTGTTATCATAAATTCTCTCTCAAGGAAATTTTAAGGACCTCGGACTTTAGTAAATCACAGACATTCTCAGAAGAGTATGTGAGATTCGGGGAGAAATGGTGGACAGAGATTCATAATATGAGAAACTCTAAACAAATATGGCTTGTGTAAAGCAATAGAAAATAATGCCTGCTTGGTGTAGTTAAAATTGTGTTATTTTAAAAGAACCCAGAATGGCTTTCTCACTGTGTCATTGAACGTTACTTCATCCCTACATCCCAAGCGTTGAAAATGTAGTTGCAGAGAATCCTCTGGACCAGTAATGACCCTGTAACAATGGTAGACTCAAAAGATAAACTTGCCCATTACCCTACAAATGGTTCTCACTCCATGAGTTCATCAACCTCATAACAGCCAGCAAAACATGAAGAGCTGGTATCACCATCCCCATTTCACAGAGGAGGAAGCTGAGGCCCAGGAAGGAAGGAAGGATTGGGGCTTGAACCCAGACCTTTCTGACCCCAGAATGCCCTCCCTATGGGACCATTTCTGCAACCTTGGATACCTCCCAACATCACCTGCTGCCTCTGGGCCTGTGTCCACAGCTGTGAAATGAGGGGGCTCGGGGCAAGCACCCGAATGATGCCACCTTCTCTGTTCCAACCTTCTTTCTCTCTCTGCCCCACTGAGGGCCCCCAGGAGGCAGCAGACCCAGTCCCGGGCCAGCCGGACGATTTCCAGATCAGAGACCAGGCAAGTGTTTGCTACTTTCTATGCCTTCACAGGTGACCACCTCTGTCCCATCAGAGAGAGAGAGAGAGAGAGAGAGAAGAGAGGGAGGGGGAGCAGGGGCTGCCAGCCGTCAGCACATTCTGCATCCTGAGACGTATGTGATGAGCTCTAAGGGACCCCCCTAATTCCAAAACTCTAGCGAGTCCACACTAAGGTCTGATAGAGAGAAAATGACAATATATACAGTGATTAAGAGCACGCACTGCCTAGATTCAAATCACTGCCTCTTCACTTCCCGACTGTGTGACCCTGGGCACACACTTTCCCTGAGCCTCAGTTTCCTTATCTCTAAAATGGGGATAGTACAAGGACTTACCTCTCAGAATTGTTGGAAGGATTAAATAAACTGATTCATATAAAACTGTAGCACGTGGCCTGCAGAGTATGACGATCACTCCAAGTGACCGTGATTGTTGCATGTGACACACAAGCAGCAGGAGCATCACCAGCCACTACGATGTACTCACTGCTGTCTTCTGCCTCAGCTGCTACTCTAAGCGCTGCACGTATGTGATTGTTGCATGTGACACACAAGCAGCAGGAGCATCACCAGCCACTACGATGTACTCACTGCTGTCTTCTGCCTCAGCTGCTACTCTAAGCGCTGCACGTATAGTTTAAAATTTTTAAATAAGAGCTACTATTATTTGAGCACCTTCAGGTATTAAAATTCCCATCTTACAGGTGAGAAAACTGAGGCTCAAAGACAAGTGCTGTGCTCCAGGTCACACCCCTGAGATTCAAATCCAGGCTGTCTAGTGGGGAGGGTAGAGCTCAGTGGTAGAGCGCCTGCCTAGCATGCACGAGGTCCTGGGGTCAATCCCCAGAGCCTCCATTAAATAAATAAATAAACCTAATTATTTTACACCCCCACCCCCGCAAAAAAGGACAAATCCAGGCTGTCTGGCTTCAGAGCCCACAGCATTGAGGGCTCTCAGTGGGTTCTGTTTTGCCTCCATTTGAATGAATCAGCTCGTGGGACTTGTTATAAAACAGATTCCCAGGTCCCAGTGCACTGCCCACAGATTCTCCGTGGGGCCAGGGAACCTGCAGTTTTGCAAGCCTTCCTTGATGGCTTTGACAGAGGCAACATTCTGAGAGCCGGCGAATGGCGTGAGGTGGCCCCCGTCAACTGGAAGGGATACTCCTCGGTTGCAGGGCTGGGGTGATCCTGGGGCAAGGCTCACCCAGCACCTGGCGCCCGTGGGTGCCTGTCACTCGCAGTAATACCGCAGCTGCCTCCTTCCCACCCTCCCTGCTTCTCCTCTGCAGAGGTGGCTCCTGGCGACCCTGGCTATACAGGGGCCACCGCCCCACCCCAGGAGGAGAGAACAGGGGGCGTTGGGGGCTACTTGGCAGCCGGAGCGAGGGAAGACCGTGCGGGCCACCCTCCAGGCCCCTACTCCCAAGCGTGTGCTGCTGCTCCCCAGCCGGCCGCGGCCCCTGCCCGCCAGCCCCCACCCCAGGAGGAGGAGGAGGAGGAAGCCAACAGCTACGATTCAGATGAAGCAAGTAGGTGAAGCTAAATGGAGGGGTGGCTGGGGAAAGTTGCTTTAGGGGTTGCCCCCAGGGAAACAAGAATGGCTCTGGGGACAGCCCTGTACACTCACCAGCCCCCTAATATACCAATAACTATTAATAAATTATTAACCAAGTTACAAAAATACAAATTCGTATTACTACCTTCATAAAATGACATCAGCTTTCTAAAGTGTAGCTGCTATATGTATAAATATTTTATTGTTGTAAAATACATCAGCGTTACCATTTACATCATTTTTAAGAGTACAATTCAGCTGCACTCACAGTGTTCTATTTGGCGACTCCATAGAATGATCATGTGACCCTGCAGTTTCCACTCCTAGGAACGTATATAGGTATCTATGCATTTTAATATTTTCCCAAACTCTTTAATGTGTGCCTTCTAAAAGTCACTTTTTAACCATGACTTAAAATAGTCTGATATTTCTCTTGCATCCATCCATTCAGTGATTTGTAAAGTGCCTACTCTTTGCCTCTCCCACTCAGACCCCAAGTCCTAGGGAGAAACACACACACACACCCCCCTACCAGCAGCATTTCTCCTGGGTGTGGCTGGGAGCAGCAGGGGAGAGCTGGGGTGGCCTTTGTGAGCTGGACAGAAGCATGGATGGGTAGTGTCTGGGCCCGGTACATGTTGTAGGGTTGGAGGGACATTCCAAGAGCTCCTGGTCAGATGGGCAGCCTGGATCCACTTAGAAGAAATGGACCAAGGGCTGTAACCGGCAGAATGGCTTTGGCCCTTCAAGTCACTTGTCCTCGTTGTAAAAGGGGAAGCAAATACCGTCTCCCACGCAGGGTGAGGGGAGGGTTTACTGAGGTACCTCCTGAAAAAGGGCTTCATAAACTGGAAATCATTACTATTACATAGTGCTAAACACACACGAGGAATTACTGCTGTGTGATATGCTCATCAGAAGCAATGACCGTCAACACTTGATGAGCACTTATTTCGTGCCAGGCACTTTTCTAAGTGTGTTACATGCATGTGCTCAGTTTAATCGTCCCAGTGAGCCTGGGAATAGTAGATTTTCCTATTCCTGTTTCACAGATAGGGAGACAAAGGACCGGAGATGTTCAGGGGCTTGTCCAGGTTCACATGGCCAGTGAGTAGAGTGGCTGACGGTCAGTCTCATTGCTGTAGCAGGTCAGAGGCCAGACCTGGTTGAAGTATCCGCTGCCCCATCTCCCCCAGAGGTCATGGGTCTGCAGTCTCAGGGGAAAGGAGTCCACGAGGAGCAGTCAACTGCAGGCTGTGTCTGCTCTGGAAATGCACCGTGTCTGCCATTCCACATCCTGGTCCTTCTGCCCCGAGCAGCGGCCACTGCTCCTTCCATCTGTCAGCTTTCAGTGTGTCTTTACTGTCCTGCTCAGCCTGGATGTTCCCTCCCAGGCTGTTTCTGTCCACTGTTATAAGCTGTCCCAGTGATTTATAAACAAGCCTGTCTCTATACTCAACTCACTCATTCACTCATCTCTATATTTGACAAGTATTTACTGAGCACCTACTAGGTTCCTCTAAACTATTCTAAGTGCTAGGGATACCATGGCCAAAAAAATGACAGACAAGATGGCTCTAACTAACATTCTGGTGAAGAGAAAGAGTTGACATACCAATGAGTTCATTTCAAATAAAGGTAGAGGACCAGGAAGGAAATAAAACAGGGCAAATGACCATGAGGGTGGCTTCTTTAGATGGAGCAATCAGGAAGGGCTTCTCTGAGGAGGTGACATTTTAGCTGAGATGTGGATAATGAGAAGGCACCAGCTATATGAGGATCTAGAGAGAGAGCATTCTAGGCAGAGGCAACAGCAAATGCTGAGACTCATTTATTCCTTCAGCAGGTAAGGGAGCACCAGCCTTGTGCCTTGCACTCTGCCCAGTGGGGACATAGCAGTTAACAAAGCAGTCACAGCCCTTGCCCTCAGGGCACTCTCAACCTAGCAGGATGGAAGTCATTAACTAGGCAATTGCACAAATGATTTAACTAATCACAGAAATGCTGAGGACTCCAAAGAAGAAGAGGGTCTGCCAGGAAGGGGAGTCCAGAGAAGGGACTGAGTCTTTAACGCCTCACCCAACCAGGCACAGATTTAGTGCTCGGGAAATGTTTGTTGAATGACTAAATGAGTGTCCTCTTGGTGCCTGCCTCTTTCCTCTTCAGCCACCCTGGGTGCCCTGGAGTTCAGCCTTCTGTACGACCAGGACAACAGCTCCCTGCACTGCACCATCATAAAGGCCAAGGTGGGTGAGGGGCCAAGCTGAGGACCACTCAGGACGCTCTGGCATTTTTAGGGGACTCGGGGAGGTCATGGGTCACCAGGCCTGCCTCCTGTCAGTCTGTGACAGTGACAGTGATGAGAAAGGAGCAGGAATTAACCATGGCCGATTCCTTTGGGGGAGGACTTCCTTGGGGGATGGTCCCAGAGGGGTTTCACTTAACTGCAGCTGCCTCCCCGGACGGAGGCAACCAGGCTTCAAGGGCAGAGCCGAGATCTGCCCAGTCCTACCCACAGCCTCTGGAGGGGACCACAGAGGTGCCACCTGGGAGGCAACGACAGCCTGACTTGACAGCTGACGTGCAGCTGAACAGCTCCTTCTGCAGATGTGGCCGTCAGGCTGGAGCAGCAGACTGAGTCGGAGGTCTGTTGTTGCAGATGCAAGGACAGTAACGTGGGCTCCCAAGGGGGTGGGAAAGGCAAACCAGATTGGAAAAGCATCTCCATGCTGCAGGCTCGAGGGAGAGTGAGCCAGCTCAACTCCAGCCCCCAAAGAATGCTGGCTGATGCCAGTGCAAATCTCAGGAAGTAATTGACTAGGATCTCCCCCACACCCCAAGTCAGGACTCAGAAACCAGACTTCCTGGGTTCAAATACCAGCTCTACCGCCCTTAGCTGTGTGATTTGAGGGAAGTTACTTAACCTCTCTGTGTCAGTGTGCCCATTCGTAAATCAGGGTTAACAACAGAGCCTCTCCCATAAGGATGATGGTGAGTATTATGATGAAGGCAGCTGCATGTCCCAGTTTGCACAGATGGTTCGCAGCTATGCTCATTGTCTTGCTGAAATAATTAAGAACTCCTCCTTTTACTCACAAAGGATCCCAGTTTGGATGATCAATGATGTGTGAAATGCTTAACATAACTCCTAGAGCAGCACACCCAGGTCACTTCTTCAGCGAGCACCTACTATGTGTCATTCACTGGGACAAACACTTAGATGTGTTTATACCCCATCCCCCCAAAACACAGTGAGGTAAAGACCTACATTATCTTGTTTCATCTTCATAGGAACCTCTGAGATAGGGATTATTATTGGTCCCATTGTACAGATGGGAAAACTGAGGCTTAGGAAGTTAAAGCCTGGGGCCACACAGCTGGTAAGGGATAAAGCTGGATTTGAGTCCAGATGCAACAGTCTCAAGCTCTATGTCCTTAACCATTCATTCACAGCTCTACCTCCAGCTCCAGAAATAGGGGACAGTCACATGTTACAGCCCCCATGGGACAGGGGTACAAAAACTCAAAGGCTCAGGAGCTGGGCTGGTAATAGAGTTGAGAAAAGTGTGTAAGACGTTAGGGAGTGACAGTAAATGTGGTAAAGTCTTGGTGAACAGGATCCAAACAAAGATGTCCAAGTGCAGATTTGAAAAACACAGCGTCTGCCAATTTGCAACCTCACAGTCCAAACAGACATTCCAGAAATGTTTATTAAATACCTACTCTGTACCAGGCACTACCCTAAACACTGGGGGTATCAGAGTGAGTGAGTGTAGGCTGCACCTTCATGGGCTCTGTTGGGAAAATGGACAAGAAGCCACCACTACAGCATTTCTTGAGTATTATACACCCTCTGGGGCTTTCTCCAGATTATTTTATCCCATTTAATTTTCACAGGAAAGGTTCTGTCATCATTCCCATTTTACATATGGGGAAATTGAGACACAGAGAGATTAAGTGGACTTGCCCAGATCACACAGCCAGGAAGTGGTGGAGCTGGGATTTGAAGCAGTGCTGTCTGGCTCAAAGGCCTGTGCTCTTACTCACTTGGCTACCCGGCCAGATATCCCCCTTGCAAGCCACTTTTTGGCTTCTCTCCCGGTCTAGTAGAAGCAAACATCATTCATACTTACTCCCAAGGCCAGAGCTCAACCTTAACAGGTGGGATCTCATTTAATCCTCCAAGAATTCCATGAATCAGGGACTATGATCGGCCCCATTGAACAGATGAGGAAACTGAGGTCCCTGGAGATCACAGAATGCAAAACATGGGATTGGGGATTAATGTATGAGAGGGGACAGTGGGAGCCCACAGGTGAGACACCTGCCTCCGCCTGGGCAGAGGGGGGATGGACAGAGTGTATCTGAGCCCCAGGAATTTTGGAATTGCTCATATTAACGAGCCTAAATTAACTCCTATCCCAAACTCCTCTCCCACAGTATCACATTTGAGCCTCATGACAGCTCTGTGAGAGGGGGCCAGGCAGAGACTATGGTCCCTGTGACATGGATGGAGAAACTGAGATCTCAGAAGCAAGTGCAGGAGCCAGAACCCAGCCTCCTTCCCCTCGTCTTTCCTCCTCTCCTGCCCCTTCTGGGGCATGTCCTCACAGCCTCCCAGTAACTACCCAGCCTTGACCGGACACTTCCTAGGTGCCAGGACCTGGGCCAGGCACCTTACAGGTGGGATCACGTTTAAATCTCACCACCCAATGAAGCATCCCATTTGACAGGCAATGAAAACAAGGCTCAGAGAGGTTATAAAACTTGCCTAAAGTCACACAGCCAGTAAGTGACCTGGCCGGGCTTTAAACCCTGTTGGCCTGATTCCAGTGCTCATTCCAGGATACCACATGTTCCTTCTCTTTCCTTGGGAAAGGAAGCACACAGGGTGGACGGATGGCCATGCCCACTCCTATGGTAGCTGAGCGTCCAGCCCTCCCCAGGCCCTCAGGCTGTTGCCTCCTTCTCTTACAGGGACTGAAGCCCATGGATTCCAATGGCTTGGCTGATCCCTACGTTAAGCTGCACCTCCTGCCGGGAGCCAGCAAGGTACCATATGGCCTGGGCCTCTCGGCAAGCCAGGCACACGGGCTCTGGAAGGCATCCAAGGTTCCCAGCTTAGAGCCTAAAATAGACCTATCTGCCCCCAGACACCCTCCTCCCTGATTGACAAACTCCTTGCAACGAGTAAGGAATGGACCAGAGCCATTCTCCGTCAAGAGGCAGGGGTTCTGCTCATTTATCCAACTCAGAAACCGGGGATCCAGGAGAGAAGCAGGTGCCCTGATGCTGCCCTTGACCTGCCCAAATACCTTCAGTGGCTCCCCGGTGCCGACCTTGGTCCACCTCCCGCACTCAGTTTATGCCCCAGCCAAACTTCTCATCTCTCAACAGAAATCTCTCTCCAGATAACTTGAGAAAATGTTCTGTTATTAAAAGAAAATATACCCCCATGCCCCCCACCTTTCTCTTCTGCTTGCCTGCTGATCATTATTTTGCTCTGGGGAGGGAAGCTGGGATTAATTCTCCTTTCTTTGAATTGACCCACCAGGGGACATGGCAGGAAGTGGAAGCGTGCCTTCTTGGGTTTTATTTTTTGCTTTGTTGTGTTGATTTGACATGGATGCCCTGAAAATGAGGCTGACTGTATACTTGGTTACATGATTTTAAGAAAATGCCTTTCAAAAATCTGCAAGCATTAAATACCCTATAGGACAAAGAAGGACACACATGCGCGCCTACGTACATACTTTATGTCACTCTTTTAGGTTTGGATCAAGAAAAGGCAGTCCCGTCTGGCCATGTTGGCCACTACTCCTTCTACCTCCCCAGTGACATTTGCTTCTCCTTGACGCTCTCTCCTTTGCCCACTCCTAAAACCAAACCTACTTTGCCAAAGAGTCCAATCAATCATTTACATGTTAGTATGAATTAGATGTGTCACAGGCCACCAGCTGCATTTCTAGCCTTCACTCTTAGAGCAAAATGAAAAATGTTGTCCCCTCTAAGGAATTTCAGGTATGGAGGATACTATTTGGGGAAACAGGGAATCGTTCCAATATACCCAGAAATTATTTCCTCACTGCCTGGGAGTGGGTGACTCATTTCTGCCTCCCTGGCCTAGAAATAATATTGTTTCTCAAAAAAAATATCTCTTTGCTTTGTAATCTTTATGAAAAGTTCAAAGAGAGGGCCCAGCACCTGGAGGGAGGTGTGACCCAGTGTCCAGTGTTGGGAATGGACCCTGGAGGATGTCCCCCACTCTCTTGAGAGTGTGCATTTGGGAGGAACAGAGCCCCTGGACACTCCTAAGGGGAGTGGACTCCTGTCACCTGCCCACCCCAAAGAAGCCCAAAGGATGGGGCTGCAGAGCTAGCTCCCCATTGAGGCAGATGTCTGTCTGTCCATCTCTCTGCATTCTAGTCCAACAAGCTTCGTACAAAAACCCTGCGGAACACTCGAAACCCCATCTGGAACGAGACTCTGGTGTATCATGGCATCACGGACGAGGACATGCAGAGGAAGACCCTCAGGTGCCTGACGGGCTAGGGGCTGAGAGGGGACTGAGGCTGGCAGACCGAGGCATGCGTGGCTCATGGGGGCCACTCTTTAAAACATCTTGGAGTAGTTTTCCATTTCTTTATTTCTTCTAAAAAACAATCTATATTTCTGGCAGACACTTCTGAAAATACAGGTAAGTAGAACTGTTAACATCTTGGTGTCTGAACGTCTGGGTTTAACATGTGTCTGTGTGTGTGTGTGTGTGTTTGTATGCAAAAGTATTCTATAAAGTTGAGTGTTTATAAAAATGGGCCATCCTGTTAAGTGATCAGCCAGTTTCACTTAACCATATACGGTACTCATGCCACTGCATGTTCTACAATGTTGTATTAAAATGCATTTTAAATGATGTAAGTAATAAGCGAATACATTCTTCTTGTGAAGAATTACAGAGAAAGCAATGCTGCTTTTAAATGTTAGTTCCCTCCCCCAGCCTCAGTCTCCTCCTTCTGTGAGCCTGTGTATATTTGTTATATACATACACATACTATAAATAAACACACACTATATTGTTTACAACATAAGAAATGTCACATTATGTGTATCTGGAAATTGCCTTTTTTCTTGACAATGTATCTTGGGGTTATGGCCATGAGAAGACATTTAGAGCTACCTGATTTTTAAATGCCTCAGAGTATTCCACAGAATTGATTTATCACAGATTTTTTAAAATGTTTTATTATTAAATATTATGGTACAATAGCCAAGATGTGGAAGCAACCTAAATGTCCATTGACAGATGACTAGATAAAGAAGTCATGGTATGTTTATACAGTGGAATACTATTCAGCCATTAAAAAGGATAAAATAATGCCATTCGTAGCAACATGGATGGTCCTTGAGATTATCATTCTAAGTGAAGTAAGTCAGAAAGAGAAAGCAAAATACCATATGATATCACTTATATGTGGAATCTAAAAAAAGGACACAAATGAACTTATTTACCAAACAGAAACATACTCACAGACATAGAAAACAAAATTACAGTTAATGGGGGGAAAGGGCATGGGAAGGGATAAATCAGGAATTTGAGATTTGCAGATATTAACTACTGTATATAAAATAGATAAACAACAAGCTTGTACTGTACAGCGCAGGAAACTATATTCAATATCTTGTAGTAACCTATACTGAAAAAGAATATATATGTGTATGACTAAAACTTTATGCTGTACACCAGAAATTGATAAATTGTAAACTACCTATAATTAAATTTTTTTAAAAAAAGATAGTACTGCTCAGAATAAACAACTCTAAATTGAGAAAGGAAAAAACACTTGCGGATAAATAATAAATAAATAAATATTATGAATATACCGAAAAGTAGAGAATATAATAAAACAAACACCCATGAACCCAATATTCAATCTTTTAAAAATCTTAATATTTTGTTGTACTTGCTTCGGCTTTTTTGGGTAAGAAATAAAGCATGCCATAATTACCTCCCTCCCCCCAGATTAATTAATTAAGTAAGTAACTAAAAATAGAAAGAAATCAAGCACTACAGATGCAAATTGAAGCTCTTGTCTACTTTGTCCATAATTATGTATCTACAAACATTGCATGGTATTATTTGGCATTTTAAATTTTTATGTAAATGCTTACCATTTTATTTAGCCAGTTCCCCTGTGGATGGACATTTAGATGCCTTCCAGCTTTCCTCTTTTACAAACAAATTTGTAATGAGCGCCCTTCATGCTTCCTTGTGTTCAGATGAGTATTTCCTTAGAACAGGAACAAAGGAGGACTATTTGGTGGATCATAGGATCTGTGGCGGGGTTATTTCTGCTTTTTCACAATTATAAACAAAACTGGGGTAAAGATCTTTATAGTGACGTATTTCTGCACTTATCTTCTGTCTTAGAGATAAATTCCTGTATGTGGCATTACTGGGTCCAAAATGGTGATTATTTTTAAGTCATTGGAGACACACTGTCCTGCAGAAGAATGGGGTTGCTTACAGCCTGTCCAGCTGAACAGAGACAGCTTCTTTTTCCAACTGTGTACAGTATGGGGCTTGGCAGGAAGCCGTTCTGGCCCTCCAGAACTTTGAGCACTGTTCAACAAATGTTGATGGCCAGGGAGCGAGGTGTTGTTAGTCTCTGTCTGCCCCCCATGCCTTGGGGGGACAAGTCCTGTCTTCCTCTTAGTATATGTCAGGCTGATTACTGTGTCTTGACTGGTCGTTTTGGCCTCTTAAGTGATCTTTCTCATGACCTGCTGTTTCTACACCTCTAGTCTGCTCAATGCTGTGCAGAGTGGATTAGAAAAGACAGGTTAGTGTTCTAGGATTCAGGAGACCTGGATTCAAATCCTGGTTCTGCCTCTTGCTAGGGAAAAAATGATTCAGCCTTAAAGTGGGAAACTTACAGGTTTGAGGGGAGGAAAAATTAATGAGGTCACTAAGCTCCTAGCCTCGCTTTGCAAAAGGTGGTGCTTAAATCGCCATGAAGTAGATGAAAAAGGGGGGCTGAACTTTATTCATCATCCGGGAAATATAAATTAAAACTACAAGAAGCGACTATGGCCCTCTCGGAAAGGCTCAAACTATAGACTGACACAATAAAGTTAGAAGGAAGAGCAACCAAAACCTGCAGAAACTGCTGGTAGGAGTATAACTGAGGGAACCCCTTTGGAAAACTGTTAAGAAGTTTCTACCGAGGCTAAACTTACGTGTAGTCCATGCATCAGCAATCCACTCCTAGGAAGGTACACGATAGCGGTATGTACACGTGCATACGGAAAGCCGCGAACACGGATGTCCCATTGCAGCCTCATTTGTAACAGCTAAAGACAGAGCTCAAAGGCAAGTGCCCATCCGTAACAAAATTATTATGGTATCTTTACACAATGGAATACGAAAAAAAGGACAAACTACTACAGACATGGATGAATCCCACAGACACAATGTTGAACAAAAGAAACCAAATATCAAAGAATCTCTATGTCTGATTTTATTTATATAAAGGTCAAAAACGAGGCACTGAATCTTGCCAAGAGGACGAGACCATGGTTATCTCTGAGGGAGGCAGTGACTAAGAGGGGTTGTGAGGTTCTCTGGGAGCTAGCGTGTTCTATATCTTGATCTGTCTGGGTGGTGTCTGCACGTGAGTGTATGCATATGCAAAAATGCAGCAAGCTAGAATTTTAAGATTTGCGCGAGTTACTGCTTGTTAAGTTATGCTACAATAAAGAATAAAAAGAACCTGACCTAGCGCTCAGTGAATAGGGAGTTGTACCATTCCCGTGCGCATCACACGCTCCAGTATCAATCACAGTTCTTAGCACACAATAGGAGCTAATATATGCTCTTCCTTCTTCCCCCACCCTTTGTGGCCCCCACAGGATCTCTGTCTGTGATGAGGACAAATTTGGCCATAATGAGTTTATCGGAGAGACCAGATTCTCCCTCAAGAAACTGAAGCCGAACCAGAGGAAGAACTTCAATATCTGTCTGGAGCGGGTGATCCCGGTGAGTGCCTTTGCCCCGAGGGTTCTGTAGAGGAACAGAGTTGTGGGGTTTGGGGTGTTGCCTTCTTCGGGGCCAGCAAAGGATGTGATGATCTGTAGGTCACCAGACAGTAGAGGGGCTGTGGCATCTGTTGGGAGGAGGGTGAAGATTTCAGGTCAGAACATCGGGGTTGCATCCTGGCTATGCCTTTCACCAGTCCTGTGTTAGCACCACTTCTGAAGGGCCATGTGGTGTGGCAGGTTGGCCTGCCTGGGCGCAAAGCCCAGCTCTGCCATTTCCCAGCTCCCTGGCCTCACCAAGGGTCTGAACTATTCTGGACCTCAGTTTTCCTTATCTATAAAATGGGTATTACAACAACACCTGCCTCATAGGAGGGTTGTGTGAAAGGCATAATTAGAACAGAACCTAGTACACGATAAGCACTCATGAATTATTACTGTTAATATTATAGGAAATAATACTGCTTTACCCGCCTGTCAGTCATGAAGTTAAAAAGCATCATGCAGTTAAGCAGAAGTCAGGATAGCAAAGTGCCTAAGAGCGTGGGCTCTGGAGCTAGGCTCCCTGGGTTTGAATCCCAGTCTCTGCCACTTATAGTATAACCTGAGCCAAATTACTGAGTCTCTCTGTGCCTCCATTTTCACATCTGTAAAATGGGATAATGTAGTCCCAAAACCATAGGTCTCTTAAGGATTAATGTGAGAGCACATGTAAAGTGTTAGAACTGTTCCTGTGAGATGTGATGCTCACCTTTTGAGAAAGCTCGAGAACCAAATTGAGGTCGTTCCTTAGTCTGTGCTACAGAATATGGTGTGGCTCACAGGTCGTCCATCCTCAGGCTGACCATCTGGTGGGAGGATGCTACAGGACTCCCGCTCCTACCCTCCATGGCTTCCGCATGGGGAGCTGGCCCACTGCCCAGGGAGAGCAGGCACACAACAAGGCAAATTGCAAGGAGGAATTTACACTGAATGCCAGGCTCCCTATAAATCATTAAAGATGTGCCTGGCAGTGAAGCATTTCCTCTGGGTCTTTGCCTGATAACAGCTGGTTCTTCAGGCTTCCTCTTCCTCCCCTCCCTCAATGAGTCCAGTTGGTCAGGACAGGGGCCAGGCCCCCGTCTGGGTCATCATCTCCTGGGTCTGCCCACCTTGCCATGATGGCAGCAGCCACAGAACTCTGCTGATCATCTCCTTGGCTCTTTGCTTTAATCCCTCCCAGGGACAGCTCCCCTCATATGCCCCACCAAGGACAGGGCTGACAGGCTAGTCCTTAAGACCCCTGTGCCACTTCAGCCAGAGCAGAGGAAATCGTACCTGTCTTATTGGCTGTGTGACCTTGGGCAAGTGGTTTAACTACTCTGACCCTCAGTGTCTTCATCTGTAAAATGGGGATAGTAATACAGCCTACATCATAGGCTGCTGTGCATTGACATGGTCTCTTAAGTGGTTAGTGGTATATACATCTTAGCTAAAGGAAGGAAAGCTGAAGGGCCACAGAAGCTTGGCTCCCCGTGGCTCTGGATGCTAGTGGAGTGGTGAGGGGTTTCTGGTCTTTTTTCTATCAGGAGATGTGCCCCATAGACGATGCTATCTTTTGCTTCTATTTCTTTCCTTTAAGATGAAGCGTGCGGGGACCACCGGAACAGCCCGAGGCATGGCCCTTTATGAGGAGGAGGTGAGGCCTGAGTGGGTGTTGAAGCCAGTTGGGGTCTGGCATCCCCCTTTTCTCTCTCTCTCTGGCCTCTTTCCCACTCTTTCTCCCCAAACCATGAAAGGTACCCTTGCCCAAGGCATTAGAACATGAGACTAGGAGGCCACTTTTCCCATCTGGGGCCCCCAAGGTGGGGAAGCCCCATCCTCTCGCACACCCAGGAGACACCATTGAGGTCCTCGGCCCTGTCGGTCCTCTGCTGCCCTGGAGCAAAGCCATGTTCCCTCTGTGGAGACAGAGGGCAGGCTCTTTGCGCTGTGTGTCTGGCAGAGGCTGAGGATGGGCTGCAGGTCCATGCCCTCAGTCCAAGTTCCTCATGCCACCCCAGAGACTACACTTTGAGAAGACTGGTTGTAGCGGGGTGGGGAGTCTGGGCTCAGAGTCGGGCTAGGACCAGGGTCAAGCTCAGCCTATGATCAGAATCAGGCTCAATTTGTGTCTAAGCCAGAGTAAAGCTACTGGTCTCCCTGTGCCTGGAAATGGGCCCCCTCCCAGGAGGCTGGTGCATTCGCTCTCCATGGTGCTGATTGCACTGGCTCTGGCCCAGCTCTTCCTACTTGCCACAGGCTCTGTCTTAATGCTCACCATCCATACTGTCTGGACCCCTCCCCTCCTAGACCCACACACCCTCTTCTCCTACTGCAGCAGGTGGAGCGTATTGGTGACATAGAGGAACGCGGCAAGATCCTGGTGTCCCTCATGTACAGCACACAGCAGGGAGGCCTCATTGTGGGCATCATACGCTGTGTGCACCTGGCGGCCATGGACGCCAATGGCTACTCAGATCCATTCGTCAAGCTGTGAGTCCATGCCTTGGGACCATAAACGGGCCGCAAAGCCAGTGGGTGGGTCCTAGATCCTCGCCAAAGGAGGACCAGAGAGCTTCCCTAAGATCATTGTGCAGTGAGGCCCAGAGAGGGCAACAGACCTGCCCAAGGTCACACAGTGAGACGGATGTCCGAAACTGGCTAGAGTGTGAGTCTGGAGTCTCAGACAGCCACACTGGTATGTCACCCACTTGTATGAGAAAATTTTGTGACTCTGTTTCCTCCTATTGGAGAGGGGCAGTCAGCAAGGTTGTAGCCCCCAGGAATCAACAACACATCCTTCCATCAAAAGAAGCAACCTGGCTTTTTCTGGATTCAGTCTGGAAATTCTCGAAGAAAAGACCTTAGATTTCGGGGTTATTCCAGTCATCTCAGTCATGGGGAACAAGAGAGACTTTGTGATCTGTTAGTCTGGGTCCTCTTGAGAAGATACCAAGAGGGGATTAAACAGATAGGATATCACTAGGAGAAGTGCCTGCGTGAGGGAAAATGAAGAGAGAGTCGGGCGAAACGGGACAGCTGTGAGATGGCCATTGGAGTCTGACCCTGAGTGAGGGGAAGAGGGAGCGGGGGTGGGTAGAAGCATCCCAGATGCAAGTTCAGCAAGGCCATCAGGGAGTCCTCAAGCCAAAACAGGCCATCAGATGAGCCCACATCCCTTAGGAGCAGGTCTGCCATAAGTATCCCTGCCGTGTTCAGTCAACACCTGGAGCGTGGCTTGGCACATGCATGGTGTGGATTTCCAAGCCCAGCAGCTGGAGCCTTGGTCAATTATGCTTCCTGTAGTTGGAGGACCACTAGGCACATCCTCCTGGCTGCCACTGAATAAGACATGGGGTCCTGCTTCCCTGTGTAACTATAAGCAAGTTATTTGACCTCTCTGAGTCTCAAGATTCTTCATTAGTAAAATGAAGACAAAACTTCTGTTTATTTCCAAGAATGGCCATAAGGCTCAAATAAGATATCCTGTAAAAGGAATAAAATTGTGCCCAGTACAGAAATATTTAGCTACTCTCAATAGAATCCTGCCTTGCCTCTGGCAGTAAAATGTGTGTTTACAGGTTTGTGGTTGAGAGCCTGAGCTCTGGATCCAGCCTGCTTGGTTTTGAATCCCGGATCTGATAGTCTTCAATATTCTCTAGCTGTGTGACCTTGGGTTCATGCCTTCACATCTCTGGGCCTCAAGTCCTCATCTATAAAATGGGAGGAGTAATACTGCTCATTAGGTCCTATCTTCTAAGAAGCAGACATGAAGATGAGATGTGTAAGAGATTTGTTGGGGAAAGTGCCTGTGAAGGAAAATTGAGAGGGAGCTGGACGAGGACCACAGAGACAACAGGCCTGGTACAGGTCTGATCCCTGTGGAGGAGCCGGGAGGATGGTTGGGCAGGACGAGTCTTGGGTGGAGGTGCAGTCCTGCAGAAGTTTCAACCAGGGCGATGGGGAATCCTTGAGCACAAAGTCGCCCATTGGAGGAGCACTGCATCCCCCAGAAATGGGGCTGTCCGCTGTCGCTCCTGGCTCAGGTATTGGCTGGGAGCAGCCTGTGGGGCGCATGGTCACATGAGAACATGGTGGTGAATTCAGAGCCCAGCAGCTTGTCAGTTTTGCCCCCTGCAGTTGCAGATCTGACAGGTGCATTTTCTTGGGATCTGATACATAGTAAGTGCTCAATAAATGCCTGCCGTGATGTTTATAAATAATTACCATCACGGTCTTCCTCATGGCAAAGAGTGTTTAAGTAATGTTCTCTCCAGCCTGGAAAACGCTCCCTCCCCTCTTGCCCTCTGCCTTTCATAACAGAAAGCAATGCTTCCCTTAAGGTCATGGCTAAAAATGAAGCCAGCGTGGACTTTGCTCCAGATTTTCTTTGAAAGAGGACTTAGTTAACGAAAGAAAACAGATGGCAGGAATGAGTTCAATTTTTAGGAGTAATTTGGTGTAATTTTCTCATAGGGTCCAATAGAGAACATTAGCTCATAGGCTCCTGCAGTGCACTCCTTTGGACCCCAGCCACACGCAAATTGTTTTCCTTAAATAATTCTTCCCACCACGCCTTCTCCCATCTACCCAGCCCTCCAGAAGAAGTAGATTTGCTGCGGTCACCAGTGAAACAGCTGCCCTGGTGGCTGTTGTAAAGAAAGGGAACAGGAGATCATTAATCAGTTTAAGATCCAGAATTGCCCTTTATTTTCACTTAGCACTTGATACCTTTCATTTCCTCTTTTGTGTCTCTTTATGATTCTCATCAAAAGCAGTTCTGTGAGTGAGAAAGAAAAGTCTGCTCTCTGCAGATTGGGACATGGGCTTGCTGAAGTTACATTCATGTTCAGAGTTGCACAGCTAGTGACAGCTTACATCGGAATCCAAATGTCCAAACTCTTAGGACTTGTTAGCCCATTTTGTTTATTTATCCAGAAAATATTGATTGAGCACCTACTATGTGTCATGCATTGTGCCTACACTGGGGAAGAGATTTCTAGGCAGAGGAAATAGTATGTGCAAAGGCCCTGGGGTGGAAGGCAGAGTGACTGAGGGTAGGGTGAAGCACATGGTGCAAGATCAGGCTGGATAGGAGAGGGGATCCAACCAAGTCTTAATGCCACATCAAGGATTTTGAACTTCACCCTGAGGTCAAAGGGGAGACACTGAATAGTTTTGAACAGGGGACTGATCATAATCAGATTTGCATCTTCTCCTTTCTGTCCGTACTCTCATCATCTCTCTAGGACTTGAGGGCAACTTAAGAGATAATCAATAGTGAAGCCTCAGGCACCATCATCCAGGTACTTAATTTGACCCATTGAGAGAAAGACCTGGCTAAGGGCAAAGACTCCAGAGAGAGCAGCTGGGTTGAGTCCCCAGCTGAGTGACCGGAGGCACATGTCTCAACATCTCTGAACCCTCAGTTTCCTTGTATGTAAAATGAGTGGTTGTAGTTCTACCATCTAAGGTTTGTTGAGGATTAAATGTGCATAGGATGCTTAGTGTAGTGCCTGGCACCAGGTAGATGCTGTAATGCACACTGGTCATTATGAATGTTGACTCATTTTCTGATCTGTTCATTAATTATTCTCCTGACATGGGAAGGATCTTTGGGGTCATCATGAGGCTGTTCTTATTCATGAGTCTTCATCCATAATAGCCTCTCCTCTCTCCTCTCAGCTGGCTGAAACCAGACATGGGAAAGAAAGCCAAACATAAGACTCAAATTAAGAAGAAAACCTTGAATCCTGAATTTAATGAGGTAAGGCTGCCCCATTTTTTGTCCTACTCTGGGATATTTCCTATATGTGAGAGAGGAATCAGCTCCCTGCTAGAAAGTTGTGAAGCACGTCCAAAAAAAAAAAAAACAAAAGCTTCCTGTCATAGATCAACTTGAATTAGCTAAAGGAGAAGGAATGAGTTCCTTGTCACCAGGAGGAATCAAGCCTGAGACAAAAGCCAATAGATTTGGAATGGCACAGGGAAGTCTTTGCATTTGAAGTGAAATTGAATTGAATCATCTCTAAAGTCTTTACCAATTCTAATAGTACAGAATGCTGCTATTTGAGGGAATAAATAGGGGTAATTGTGCCCTTTACCACTCAGCCAGTTGGCACAGCCCTCTCCCTCTCCCTCAATCCCCAGGTCCATCCAGTGCATCAAATCCTGCTAAAGCCACTGTCAAGATACCCACTGAACGTGCTTCTTCCTCTGTATTCTCACTGTTTCTTGCCAAACATTCCATGTCTGGACTATTGCAGTAGACTCCTGACTCACTTCCCTGTGGTTGGCCCATCCTCCATTTAAGTGTGAGCTTTCTAAAACATGACTCTGAATTTATTACCCCTTTGCTTAATGCAACAATAGCTCTCTAACTTCCTAGCATGCCAACCAAGCCCTTTCAAACTCACACCCCAGCCCGGCCCCATCTCTCACTCCTTGTCCTCAAGACACACTGAATGCCATGCAGGTCCCTCCCTGGCACACGTCTCAGCTTTGCACCTGCTGCTCCCTTTTCCTGGGCTTCCGTCTCTCTCCTTTCCTCTCTGGCCAACTCATAGTCATCCCTCAGTGTAAGAGTTCATTCCTGCAGCTGTGTCCCCAGGCTTGATGCATCCCTCCATCTTCTGCTGTCCTTCTGGATTTTAATTACCCATTGGCAAGCTTGTCAGATACTGAGGATCCAGAAATATCTGTTGAATATAATGATCTTAAGTTGGGTCAGAGTCCCAGCATTGGTTTTTACCAAATGTTGAAAAATGGGAAAGCGAAGCTACCATACATCTGTTTTGTATTGTTTGGTTCTTTAAAAACAAGCACCCACATGTGCGCATGTGGGGAGCATTCTGTGTAAACAAGAGCCCAGAGCAATCACTGGCTGGTTGGTCCTGTACCCAGGTCTCTCTTTCAGCTGGACCCCTGGTTTCCCAACTCAGACTTAATAAATTTTGAGTAAGGAGCCAAATATTGCTGCCCTGCCCTACCTTCTCCTGATATGTGAACAAGTCACAGAATAAGAAATCCAAATAGTCACTAAACTCATTAGCAGTAGAGAAAAAGGCAAATCAAGACCAGACGTCGTATCTCATAAGAAACTGGCATGCAAATGTTGTAAAATGTTGATACCTAGGGTTGGGAAGCATGTGAAGTGCACACTCTGTGGGTGAGAGAGAAGAGTGGTCCTAGTTCTGAAGGGGGGGTTGTCAAAACGCTACAAAAACCTTAACATTTTAAAAGTCAGATTCCATTTCTGTCGAGAACAGGAAGTATAGTCACATATCTGAAAATTCCAAACGTATCAACATGTATCCAATCCAAATCCCCTTCTTTCCCCAGCTCCACCATCCACTTCTGTCCTATCTTGATCCATTTCCGGGATTAATATATATATGAAGCAAATATCTGTGCAGCCAGCTTTGTTGCTGTACACAGAACGTACCATAGTATATACCCACTGTTCTTAAAATTTTACAAATTCAGAAAACACTTTTTGGAATTTATCCTAAATAAGTCACCTTGGATTAACACAATGATTTAGCTACAAGGATGCCTTTTATCTTATCATTAATAATAGTGGAAAGTTGGAAACAACCTAAATACTCAATTGTTGTGCATTAGGTTATGGTCCAGCCACATAACTGTTAGAGGAAACCATTAGAATAGTGATGTAGGAAAAAAATTGCTAACAAGTAAAGTTGGTTTTTACTATATGTTATAAAATGGGAAAAGGAAGCCACAGTACTCATATTACTCATATTATATTTCTATAATATAATATTCAAATACTTCATATGATAGAAAATTCAAATTAATAGTCATATTAATTTTTTAAAACATACATCAATGTGGTCACACATGAGGAATGCTGACAATGGTCATTCTTGGGTAGATAGAGTACATGTTCTGGTTTTGGGTTTTTGGGGTTTTTTGCTTCCTCGTTTGCTGCAAAGGGGAACATGAATGAATTTGATGATTAGGCAGAAGAGTTATTGACAGAATCAGATTATCTGAAAACGTAAGCACCTAACCCTCATGTCAGTATCAGTCCCCTCGAGGACCTTTAATCTCTGAATGATGGAGAGGATGGAAAACTCACTTCAGACGTCATCAGAATGGAAGAACTGAGTTCATGGCCATTTGGCTTCAAGGAAACTTGACCAGGACCAGCCCTCTTAGAAAACCCCCGCCAGTCTTTGCAATTTCAAATAGGGAGTCATTGGAAAAGAGAATTACAGAGCTTGAGGGGCTTTGTTCTACAGAGTGTTTGTTGAAAGGGGATTGTCAGGCCTGGGGCAAAGGTCCCCTTGATTCCAGATACTCAATACAAGGGCCTCCCCTTGGTCCATGAACCCCTAGGACTCAGCCCCTTAGCTCCCGATGCCAAAGGCTCAGAGAACTCTTTCACTGACATGGCTTCCCCTGCTGAATCCAGGAGTTTTTCTATGACATCAAACATAGTGACCTGGCGAAGAAGTCACTGGACATCTCAGTCTGGGACTATGACATCGGCAAGTCCAATGATTACATCGGTGAGTGCTCCCAGCTCCCGGGGAAAACCCATCCTCTATCCTCCCAGGAGAGGATAGCCTTAGCCAGGGACGCAGAGGGTCGAGGCCATCGCTTTACTTGGCAATTACATTGTCTAAACACGAATTCGGGACCCATGGTCCTCATTTGGGTCCAATTTGCAAGTGCCTTTATGTGAAAGAGCTTTGAAAGCTGGGAAGATTAGGTCATGATTGCCTATTTGCTGAACAGTTCACCTCCAGTGGGATAATTAAATTACAGAAGAGTGGGATGTGTGGCCCCTACAGAACATAGGGTGCAATCCATTTGGAAGTCCGGATGAAGGTCCTCGTGTTCCCAGTACACCTCCAAGTGGTGAGGAAGAACAGCCCTTACAGGTGGAGCAGGGAGGGAATTCCGGACAACAGAGACAGCATGAGCGAAGGTGTGGAGGCTGGACTGAGCCGGGGGTGAAACTGACTCTTTGGAAATAGACGATGAGTCCCCAGAAGTCGTAAGAGACAATTTCAGCAGATAAAGTGGTGACTTGAAGAAGGTCTTATAAAATAGACCATAAAGTTATGACTTGATGCTACAGTAGGGAGCCACTGCAGGTTCTCGAGTGGGCCGTCTGTAGGCAGAGAAGGCCAGTGGTAATAATACCATAACAACAGCCCTCCAGAGAGAATGGATCCCAAGTGGGTGGAGGGCATCACTGCTTGGTGGCAGTTTTTCTCCAACTAGACATTTGGGTCCAGAATGAAAAGTCCTGTGCGTGCTTCCACTCTGACCACCTGCCCCTGTCTTCCCACCTTGTCCAGGAGGCTGCCAGCTGGGCATCTCAGCCAAGGGAGAGCGCTTAAAACACTGGTACGAGTGTCTGAAAAACAAAGACAAGAAGATCGAACGCTGGCACCAGCTACAGAATGAGAACCACGTGTCGAGTGATTAGGATGGAGCCCAGGCCCCCAGCCCCATGCCCCATCCCCCTCCAGCCTACCCCAGCTGCCCTTGCGCTCTGGTCTCGTCTCTACACCTCCCACACCCCATCCCTCCCAGAGCCTGCCTTTGAGGTCTGCCCCACACCTTGGACGTTGCCACCCAAAGCCTCCCCTCTCCGTGATGCTGCGATGCAGGCTCTGAATGCAGCCCCTTACTGATCCCTTAGGGTTGGAGCCACAGGGATCAGGACGGAGAGATTTTCACAAGAAGGTTGTCAATTTAACAACTTCTCAGCCTGGGTAAATTACAAAAGTTCTTCATCATTCGGGACTGTTTTTAGACCCTCCTGTCCTTGGACTCACACTCACACACACATACACGCACACACACAAAATTTGTGTTTCCTACATCTCATCTGCCTGTATCCTCAGTTGTCAGCAGAGCTAGACAAGGCTGTGAGGCCGAGCATTGGGGCAGACATGGGGCAGACATAGAGCATCCAGGCTCCCGTCTGGGTACCCAACTCTTCCACATCAGACCCCCTAATTGCCATGAAAACAGCCCCCCGTGTTTAAAACCTCCCCCCATGACTAGGAACCCAGCTTCCCAGCTACAGATGCATCAGGAAATGACCATGCAGAATACCCAAAGGGGCTTAGTAGGCCCCCTCATTCAGGATGTCTTCTGTTTGCTTCCTAGCAGAAGACAGCTCCCATCCTCCACCAGCCCTCCTTCGCTCTCCTCCTCCTCCCCGTTCCCAGTCCCTGCCCCTGCACCACACTGAACTCGCCCTCTTTTCCCCCACTTCTCTGCTCTCCTCTCACCTCTCTCCCCTTCTCTTTTCTCCCTCCCTAAGGAGATAAAATAGCAAAAGCAAAAAAGTGTATCTTAACACAGCCTCACCTCCTCGCCTCCCCTCACCAGCCTAACCAGCAAACTCCTAGGAACTAACAGAACCCGAACTCCCACATGGGTCCGCGCTTCTGTAACCACCCACCTTTCCTGTTGGCAGAGCTGGTGTCCTCGCGGGTCTCAGGCCGGCTGCTGGCACTGCCCCAGGTGCACGGTAGCATCCTGCAAGCTGTGTAGACGCCCCAGAGAGGGGCTTTCTCAGCCCCTGGCCTCCCCACGTGGGTGCACAAGGTGTTTAAACCAGAGTTCTGGGTTGCAGGGGGCCTCCCCAAAGCCCCCAGCCTTTCTCTTTCCTTTGCTCTGAGTTAAATGAATCAATGACACCCCCTGCCCCTGAGACACTCCCTCTCTCTCTCCCCCCTCCCTCCCCTCTCCTCCTCTCTCTCTCTCTCTCCCTCCCTCCCTCCCCCCCCTCCCCTCTCCCCCCCCTCCTCTCTCTCCTTCTCTTGCACTGACTTCATTGTGTTGGGAGTATAGATCCCCATCATGGATCTAAAACTTTACAGAGTGACAGATCCCGACACCAAAGGCTTTGTCCCATCATGGATTCTTCAGTCTTTCTTCCAACATAAAAAATGTTTTAAAGGAGGAAAAGGCAACGGGGACAAATGTTGTAAGTTTCGGGGTCGGTCTTCAGTGCCCTGTGAGAATGGCTTGATTTCTCTGGATTTCCAGGAAGTCTTACCCCATGAAAATCACCTCCCTCTGTCCAACACCCCATCATTATCTACAGAAGCCGTCAGACAGACAATGAAACTCTCACTTTCTCCAGCCACACAACTTGTAACCTTCCATTTCAGTGCCCTCCACCCCTAGCTCCCTTGACAAGTCATGGGAAGTCACTGATTTCTCGCCTTGAATAACCATTTTCTAGACACAGAGTACTTAGTATTTCCACCTTCTCCGAGATGGCCAATGGCTTCCTGGCTGCCATCTTCCCTACTGACCCTCTCTCTTCCCAGTGGCCCCCTTGGTGCCCACTCTCAGCCCACCTCCTTTTCATGGTTGCCTGTAGGAGAAAGCATGCTGGCTGTGTCACCCAGGCCTAGCGCTGGTATTGGCGCTGGAATCAGCATGCAGCTAGCTCACGGTGCCCCCAGTCCGGGCACACGCTCTTCCAGGCGCGTGTAAGCACCTCCCTGCCCTCTGGTGCATGCAGAACCACCCATCACCGTTCTTTGTGATGATGTAGGCAACAATAAAGTAGCAATATCCAGGAAGACGGGTGTCCTGGGTTTTTCCTTTCCGCTTTCTGGCAGTTCTTTCTCCCCACCTAGGATACATGACGTTCCTTGGAGAGTCAGTATTTAATGGGCGTCTACTGTGTTCTAGCCACTGGGGATACGGTGGTGAACAAGGCAGATGTGGTCCCTGCCCCTGTGAAGTTTGCTTTCTGGTGGGTTTCATCTTGGGCAGGGGGGCTCAAGCCAATTTGGCTGACCTCACATCCTCCTGGAAGAATGGTTTTGGCTGGTGTCCACCCAATCAGAAGGCGGCATCCTCACCTCCTCCCCTCTACTCCAGCCTTGGGGTGAAAGTCCGCTTTGCCCTAAAAGTCCCTAGTGGCTGTGGAATCAGATAATTTCAGGGCTGAAAGAGACCATAGCGTTGAGCCACGGACTAGTTCAATCAACACACTTATCTGACAGAGAAATGACCCAAAGCCCAAAGAAGGTGATGACACATCCAACGTCTCATGGCAGCAATGCCAGGAAAGGAGCTGGATCGTTGGACCCCATACAGTGCTCTTAACGCTTTGATAATAAGAAAGCGATCATCAAACACCTCCTTTGTACTCTAGCTCGTTCCAACTTTCCATCCTGCAGTGAGTCTTTTCACAGATGGCCCCTTGCTTGAGATTCTCCTGAAGGTGAGCTGAGTAGGTTAACTGACTTCCCAGAAGGATTCCAAATCTCACTACAAGTGAGATTTTTGGCTTAAGCCAAAAGTGCTTAAGCAATTCCTCGAGAA